GAGTAAATCAAAAGACACAAATCCATAAATAGGAGTCTGTTAAGAACTCAGGATTAAGATCATCCTATATATGACCATCGGTAGACTCAATTAGAATTTCTATACTTAACGGAATTATTAGAAATTCATATTGTGTCTGTGTCCTTGTTCCACATAATCTCATTATGCGAAAAACACTCATTCAATATCTCACCATATTAACAGTGCGGATAACACCGTTCCATTCTTAATGGGAATGACATGTATTAATAATGTTTTAATTAAAGATTCCGAACTTTAATTAAATTCATTATGAACATTGCTTTTTTATTATTATCCTTAAACATTATCCTCTCGTATATAACACTAATATACAATATTTAAGGTTACATAAATAACCATGGAATTTTCATTGATATTCATAAAATATTCATAAATATATGCACATAAAATAATGAATAAACTCTTTTATTAAATAAATAATAAATATCCTATTACATCTCATACTTCTAGGACACCATTTCCAACAAATCGGTCCAAGGTTAACAACTTAATTGTCTAAGTTACTATTTCATATTATCTCTTAGATTGGACCCAAAATTGTATTAAGGCTCATTAGTCTCTAACATGTCTACAACGGTCCTTTACACTAGCGTGCCTAACTTAGGCTTGAAAAGTTGTGGGCCTAGTACGGGTGTTGGGCTCATACTTAGTGTTTTTATTAAAAAGTTCTCAATCTAATCTTTTTTTTGAAAATCGTTAGTAAATCTCATTTTACCGCTAGTTATATCGTCGGTTACTAGAAATTGGGCCCGGTAAGCACTTAGTGATTATTTTTAGAAGATAACCATAAGTTTGTAAAGCTTTTAAAATTTCTTATTTACTCTTAAACTTTCAATTCTTGAAAAACTCAAATTCAAACATTTTGAAAAATCTGAATCGTTTCAAATCCTTTCCGATTAACTTTTCTATTTTTCCTTAATCTTTAATCAGCTACGTATTAGAGTTAGATTCTTAAAATCTGAGCTTTGTAAAGTTTCTTCGTCTCAATATGATCTAAAAGTTTCGTGTTTTACGAAAAATGAGGTTTGGCCTCGAAACGGATTGAAATCTTAAAAATAACGGCGGCACAAATATTATTTTGCGCAGTTTTTTGAAAACGTCTCAAAAACGCGTCATAGAGTCAAAATTGTGATTTTTCCTAGTCACAAAGATTTGTTCGTAACGTCGAAAATTTTAAGACTCGTGCTCGGAAATCCTGAAATTGGGTCCAAAAACTGCAAAACAGAGACTAGTTTAAGTTGACAGTTTTTATGAAATTCTTGACAGTTTTGGAAAAACGTCTAAAACACCTTTTTGAAGCAGAATTGAGATTTTTATCATCACGAAGAAATGTTCAGCACATTAAGATCTACAACTTTTATGAAATAGCATTTTTCTCAATTTAGACTCTACCAGCTCCGAATTTTAAGTCAAAGTGGACTGAAATTTTTTTACCAAAAACTGAAACTTGACAAGTTGAAAATTAAGAAATGAACATGCATGACTTAAATCAAGCTTTAACCACATTAAACAGCAAACATAGACCGTAAAATACAACCTAAAAAATCATAGATCTAACACCAAAAGCCATTGTATGTGAAGATCCAACCATAAAAAACTAAACTTTGAAATAAAAACAAACTTTGCTCTTAAAAATAAAAGATCAAACTAAGTTTGATGAATCTTACCAACTATCTTAGGAGAGGAAAGGTTTTGACCACCAAAGTGAGAAATTCCTACAAGATTTATAAACTTTTAAGGAGAGTTGAAACTTTGAACAAAGAAAATCAAAGGAGAAAGTTTTGATTTTTACCCTTGAGAATGCTAGGAATTTCTTCACAAATTCCTCCTCCTTCGTCTAGATTATGGTTTGAAGTCTTCCTTGTGTGAGAGAAGTGGAATAATTTTGAGAGAGAAAGTATGAGAGGTTTGGTCAAGAGAGGGGAAAAGGAGCGAGAAAGTGTAGGAATTTTTTAGAGTAAAAATGATGAAAAATGAGTTTTAACTTTAAATGGTGATATATGTAGATAATTTCTTAATTATAGTTAACCATAGTTCTTAGGCTTCCTAGACTCACTAATTGGACTAAAAATTTAATTAACCATGCTAATAGTAGGCTGCCCATGATTAAGAGAAAAAGGAGAGAGAAATCTCCTTAATTATGACTTATTACACATTTCAACTTAAGGTCAAATCAAGTCTCATTCTTTTCTCCCACTAATGTATTCTTTAATGAGATTAATCTTGTACTAACAGTAATTTTTAGATCAGTTTTTCGGATAAATGTTTTCAGACGGTTTTCAATCCACTGTTTAAAACACAATCCAATACTATTTTTAGAAGAAATTAACACCAGTTTAGATTAAAAATCACGTAGAGTAATCAGGCTGTTTCCAACTTTAAAATTTGTCTTAAAATGACTTAAAATCTGAGTTTCACATACGTGTCTTAAACTCTCAGTAAAACATAATTACCGATAGTATCGATTTTCGATCTCGGCTTTACAATTTTTAATGAAAACGCAACTTGCGTAACACCGATTTAACTAATTGGCAATTAAGGATTTCTTTAAATATTAGGGTGCTTTTCAGAGCACTGCTAACACTGTACAGTACTCAAAAATTCATATGAGCGGAATCATGAGTCATAATCGAATCGAAAATTTCTCTCGTCTTAAATTGCGGTGAGGATTATTGACCGAATCATACATAAAAATTTTCGACATAAAATTTTTATATAGAATTTTAGAATAATATTATTAATTCTATAAATCCTTCATTACAAAACATATCATTATCCGAAAAATCCATGATTTAATTATGTAAATTACACAAATTAACATCAGGATTTTTCCATTCATTACATATTAGAACCCCTTAGATGCAGCTCCTGTTTGAAAAACTCTTATTCCTTCAAGATTTAGCCCTTCAGCATCGTTAACTGTGGATTCATAACAAACACAAGAGTTCACATCATACCTAAAATATACATTCAAAATCTCATTCTCATGAAAGCATTTCAACAATAACATATATAAACTGAAAACATTCATTAAAAACATACTATTGTTCAATTGATGTAGTAAAAGATCTACTTACACACTAACGGGTAGAGAATAGAAATCTTTTTTTATCTTCTCTTCTCTCCCTCTCTCATTTTTCTCTCTCTCTTTCTTTTTTTTTTTCTATTTTTCTTTTCATTGTCGTAGGTCATATGCTATCAAAATTGTTCAAATGATGCAGTAAAAGATCTATTTACACACTAACGGGTAGAGAATAGAAATCTTTTTTTATCTTCTCTTCTCTCCCTCTCTCATTTTTCTTTCTCTCTTTCATTTTTTTTTTCTATTTTTCTTTTCATTGTCGTAGGTCATATGCTATCAAATGTTATCCAAGCTTATCAAATCTTCATGAGCTCTCACTGTTGCCCACTAAGCTTATGACTAACCTAAACTAATATAATTAGATGCCGACGTGTAGCCTCTCCAAAGTTTTCCATATTACTTCCTTTTTCGTATGGTGCCAATCCACCAAAATTAATGATCAACCGAATTTGCATGCTTACCAAGCAATTAAGCATGTGTTGGCATAATACCGAAGAATTGGATAATCTTATATGGCCACCTCTTGCTTTTATATTCCTATCCTTTTTTTTCTGCCACCTCAAGCTATAAATAAGGATTTATTATCTAATTTTATCTCACTAATTTTTTCTTTAAATCTACCCTAATGCTATTGTTAGATTCAACAAACATAATTCGCACGTGCGTGGCACGTGCTTACCAACTAGTATCAAATGTGTTGGTGCTTTAGCAGTGATCTAAAAACTCACGGTTTGTACCGTACTTGCATGGCCAGCCGGGCATGACCGCTCTAATCTAAGCATGTTAGAGAAAACTACCACTGAGTAGTATAAAGTTATTAGATACCACTATCTCCCAAACGTACACTATCATGCAGCACTTAGCAGTGATGTCACGGTGATCTCTATTGTTATAAACTGGGTCTTTATTGTCATAAAGTAATAAATTGATTGAATTACAATGGTTTTAGAACTTATAACACATTCTAAGAATTAAGAAATAGAAATATTATCTGGTATGTCTGACGTACCAATATGTCAGATTTTTTTAACCGTTAGATTTATGTACTTTTTAATTTTTACGTGAATTTATGAAAATCCAACAGATAAAAAACCTAACCTACTGCTACGTTGACATACTGGAGAACATCCCTATGAAATAACGTCTCTTTACCAACAACAAAAAAAAAGCAAAGGTAAAAGTTTTCAAGTTGGCACTTCTAATCCTAATGTGCCCGTCAATTAGAGAAATGCCACATTTTAAAGATTTCGTATTTGAATAAGGGAGATTCTCTAATACGCTTAGTACACCAGTATGTCAGATTTTTCTAACAGTTATATTTGCGTATTTTTGACTTTTACGTGATTTTATGCAGATCCGACGAATAGAAAACTTAACCTACCGGTATATTGACGTACCAAATAATGTCTCTTTAAATAAACCATTTTTATGAAAAACTCAGTCTATTCATACACAAAAATGGAAGGGATGAATAACTAGACTTTACAAGTGCTGCTAACTTACACTCCCAAGTGCAGAGACTGGTGATAACAATCACTATTTTCCAAGGACTAAGTTCAAACTTTAAGCAGGGAAAAAAAATGACTTTATTCAAATACATGTAAATTTAGCAATCATAACTACTTTCGCCAAGTTGCTCTCCTTCACTGAAACTAAGGCAGATCATTTTGAATAACCAAAAAACCGAGATGCCAATGGACTCGGAAATTTACTAGCACAGAGATACCCCTTGATGGTTCTCTTTGGCCACAAGGGAAAGAGCTTCTAATGTCTTGAAGAAAATGGTGATAAATGCCATACCCCACGCATGAATTGAGCTCTCCCCATCTTTGAAATACTTCTTTAGTCACCCGACAAGCACCTAAGACAATTGCACTGAAAACCGAACCCTTGCGACAGGAAAGCTTGCCGAGCATCATGGTTCATACTCGCGTCAATGTAGCAGATCCGGAGCTCTTCACCTGCATAACACCCGACAGTTCTATTAACTGTCTTTAAATTCATAAGAAATTTGTAGAAACATGTGTTCGGTATCCTATTGCTATGCACGGCACAGTGACAGCCTAATCACGATTCACGGACTTATTATGAGGAACTAAATGGTCTCTTTGCATAGATATATGAAGAGATGTGCCTTTCTTTAATAGAGTTTGTAAAGCAGTTTTTTTAATGTTATGATGACGGGCAGAAATTTATGCTTGTCATCATTGAACAGTTTGTTTCTGGAGATCCACAAACGCTCTTTACATGAAAGACGGCATAAAAATTTTGTTGTTGAGTGCAAATTTCATATTACGTTTTGGCTGATCACTCACTCAATTGTTTATCTAATAGTAGAATTCTCTTGTCATTCTCTGAAAATTACGAAATAGCTATGTGAGGCATAAAAAAGAAAGAAGGTAAACTCAAGTTGACATTTTATCTAAGCCTCAAAACTTTCATTTGAAAAAAATAAAAAATAAAACAAAAAAACAGAAGCAAAAATCAGTAGAGAAATTATTGTGCATGACAAACCTGCCTCAACATCACAAAGGGCTGTCAATTTCGCATTTGCATTCTCTATCCATAAGATATGGGCATTTGGATCTGCAGTGAAAAGACACGAAAATTCCATTTATTTTTAGTTTAAATCAGAGACAGGATGATATTTATGGTAGAAATGTTCAGGAAGAAACGGATTATGTAGATCCCAATTTACCCAGTTAGCAGGGGTGGATGCAACAGTCCATTATTCTATTTTGCTTCCTGTACAGCATGTAAGTCATTATTGTCTAATCAACGATGTAAATCAAGTTTTTCTTTGTCTTTTCCACGACAAATAAGAATTGATTAACATATTTAATACGAGTTTTTATGCAAAAATACCCTACCTTTAGGCTTTATTTGAACCATCAGATCTATATTAGGTTTTGTCATTTTGCATGATTTTGTGTTGATGTGATTCAAACCAAATCTAATGTTAAAAAACATGGACTTCGGTAGGTACCCTACTGTACTGTAGAAAGCTCCTATTCAATATCCCCTACACAAACTGAAATTTGAGTATTTGTGTTGTAACTCCACATAACCAAGTGAATATGCATCCTGATCTTACTAAATGGAAATTTACTCGTGAAGAAGTGCAAACAATTAGAACCAGTACATACTAAGGAAAAACTAAATTTGAGTAAAAAGAAAAAAAAAAGTGAAGAGAATTACCACAATCATGATTATAGAAGGACGGAAGCATGTAAACCGCATTTCCAACAGCAGCTTCAGCTTCCACAGAGGCTGCAGCTGCTAAGAAAAGATCTTCATACGGTTCTCCCGCCAACTCAATACGAAATGCGTTAATTCGAATCCGTGCCAGAACCCCAGTGTACCATTGTTTGGTTAGAACTTTAAATGTCAACGAAAAGCAACCTCCGGAAAGAGGGATACACATTACACAATGACAATGTGAAAGATTAGAGTGAAAAGAAAAAAAAAGAAGTAAAAACTAAATTCCAGCCATGACGAGTAAAAAATAAATTTCAGCCATGACGAGGATACACGCCATCTTTTCATCAGCAACATTTGCCTCTTTGAAGGCGCTCTTTAACAAGTTAAAACCTTTCTCCATCTGAAAATCAATGCTTACATGTAAATAATATGAACAGAAAAGGAACCCCAAAAGATTTAACTACGATATTCACCTCTGAAATCATCTGAGGAGACAAGCTAGAAGGCTGAAGTATGTCAAGAAGGTCAGCGGATACAGAACCTAATATGACCATACATGCAAACCGCTTTACCAGAAGTGGATATTTCAGACCATTAGACCTTTACAGAAGGATTCAATTCAGGTAGTAATATATTACTATACAAAAAAGGTCGAGCATTCATAGTAGCAGAAAGGCAACAAAATGGGAGTTTATTTCCTTGGTTTATTCCACTTTAAGTCTGGAACTGTAAGCTAAATCCTATTTTGACCTATGACTTTTAAAACTTTAAAACGCCTTAAAACTGAGTCCCCCATCTATGAAATTATCTCAAATTAGTTCTTTTGTCAATCCAACCTCGATAGAACAAGACACGCGAGAACCATGCGCAGTTTAGTGAGGGTTAATTTTGTAATTATACATGTTAAGGCATGACTATTAAGAAAGAAGTCGTGCCTTTTTCTGTCGAGATTTTGAACGTAATTTTGGACAACTTGGTAGATCAAGGACTCGTTATGGGATGTTTTTAAAGACATAAATCAAAATGTGATTTGGCTTATAATTCGAAGATTATAAATGAGAAATCTTTATAACAATGTCAAAGAAGGAGAGATTCCAATACCGGCAATAGTCATCATAAGCCGACCAATCCGCTTTCGTCTCCACACCATAAAAAGCCTGAAAGCGAAAACCATAAACAACATTTTCCAAAACTCAAAAAGGGAAAATCATCACCATCCCAATTGGTCAGTTCTCTTTGAAACAAAACATCAAACACTTTGTGGGCAAACACAAACCTTAGCTCGTTCTTCGCATTCCTCACTGCAAAACGAAACGTTTCTGTTTCCGAGCTTTCTGAGGCAAAAACAACAGACCCTTTGGAGCGTAGAGAGAGAAGCTGGGTGAGACACGAGGGGTTTGGCCGTGTGTAAGAGCTCTCCGGCGCCGATTCTCCGAGTGGCGAACACGCCTCGCCCAGCCGACTCGGTCAGCGCCACCCGGACCGGAGGCGGCCCCGGTCGGACCGGAGCGGTTCGACCTTCTTCGTTAATGGAAGTGCAGAAGGAGAAGAAGTTCTTCTGATGAGGATTTTTGAACCGCGAAATGCAGCTACGGCTATAACGGACCAAGTTCCAGTTTGACATTTTGAGTTCGGTTTTTTTTTTTTTTTTAATAAGCGTCCACTCTATTTTCGGTGCTTATTT